GCTGCTAAGGCCTTCCCTCCCAAGCACACTGGTGTTACAGCTCATAAAATCCAGCAAAAGCTCAAGAGGAGTAAGAGGCAGGGGCAGGAGAAAGAGGAGTAATCTTTGAAAAATATACGTCTCCCAAAGTAATTTTTCTTTTCAAATGAAAAAACAAATGGTCTGCTTCTGAGAAGGAGCTGTAAGATTGTCACTCCTCAGGAAAAAAACATTCAAAGGCAAGGCAACACTTCCTTGGGAAGATAAATCAATAATTCCTTGGTGCTCTTGCCTGGAGACAGACCAATCTATTACTGCTCTTTAGGATTTGAATTATGGTGCACATTAGGGGCTTGGCTATGTGTTGAGTAGTTGCTGCTGGGTTTAAGTGCAGCCCATTTCCATTATGTCAGGTGGGATAGTGCTACATAGATAGAAAAATACAGGAACTATTGCCAACCAGGTGGCAATAACAGGGCTAGGGCAAAGCAGGAAGGGACAGAGAAAGGTACAAAGGAGAATTTCCTAGGGGCTGCAGGCAGAGGCTGGTCAGCTCACACTGGCCCACTTTGGGCTGTGCTACTGGACAAGCTGGGGTGCTGGGCTGTCCCCCCCAGGGAGGGGTGGGGAGAACGGAGGCACAAAGGCAGCACATCTCCAGGGGAGCCCTGCAGGTTCTTCCCATCAGAAAATCCTCCTTAATGGTGGAGGGAAAATTTCTTTTGCAAATTCCTCAGTGCAGATAAAATCTGCATGAGGTCATGCCATGTGCTGCTTTTCTGCCCTAATCATTGGAACCAAGGGCAGAATAACTCCAGCTAATGAGAATGTAATGTGGCATTTCTTTGTTTCTTCAGCTCTGCCACTTTCCAGGCTGGAGCCAGCACGCTTGAATAACTGGATGAACAGGTTAAACATGAGCACTGACTTTTCAGAAACTCAGTGACTGCGATAGGGTGGGATTTTTCTTCAGTGGTGTGATTAGACTTACTCCTCTGTGAGAGAGGTAAAGATTTCACAGACATGACAGGAGAAGAGTCCAGGGTGAGGGGCACAGAGAGGGCAGAGCTCTGAGCCATATGAACTGCGGATAAATGCAACCACTTCAACTTTCTCAGCTTGAAGAACAAGAAGTTAAAACAACCCAGGAGGTTGGTAGTTACCAGTGGGATGTGGTTAGGCAGTGCTTAATATTTATTTCATCTCAGAGCATATGCTAGGAATAGTGCAGGCATGATCTTAAAGAAAGCCCACATGTTACTGAACTGTATCTTTTTCACATGTGGACACCAAACAAGTAAAGGCTAAAATCATAGAAATATTTCATACATGGATGAGCACTGCCTCAAGAAGGACAAACACTGGGCAGGCTTTTTCCAGAAAGCCAGAAACCACAAGTCAGTAGGTATATTTGACAATCAGTGGACTTTGTTCTCACACAATTGATTTGTCTGTTTGAAAAGCGTCTCTGTGTGCTTATATACTGATAATTTAACTTATATACTGATAATAAAAGGTATAGCAAAACAGCACAGAAGAATTACTAACAAAAGTCAAGCAGCAAAATTTGAAACTGAGTTGTTCTATTCTTGTTTCTTTTGTCTTTATAAATTTGCCCCCATGATCCTGTGTACTTACATCTCTGTATCCTTCTCCAATATTCCCAGAAATGTCACCTGCTATGTCTCTGCAGCCAGCAGGACAGTATCTACTGTAGTGAGAGAAGAAAGGCTTGTTTAAGGCAGGAACTGTAGTGACAATACACACAAACAAACTCCTATAAAAGAAATGCTCTCAAACCAATAAATACTTTAGCAGTAATTTCTCTAAATTACTGATGCTCTGTTAGTGAGTCTAGGAGCTAAATAAATGGGCCCTTGAGTTCATAGGTGGACTGAACACAGTAGCACACAAAGACCTAGGAAAGCAGTTTAGCAAGGGCATTTATTTTTTATTTAATTCTCTTGTTCTAGAAATGCTACCACACAAGTTTTCAGAGTAAGATAAGAAGCCTATATGCACATCCAGACAGCAGCCAAAAGAGCACAATTTATTACCATTTCAAACCTATCACAAAGTTCAAGGAACTGAGAAATTATAGCTTGTCCTCAGATAATCTTGTATCAGCTGGGACGTGATCTGCTCCCAGAGGAAGCACTGGAATTTGAGGCTACTTTGAATTTCAAAGTGGAAACTCTTTTCACATACACCATGTATATGTATGCACTTAATGAGAATTGCTGAGAGCTCTGCAACTCCATTCCATCATTTTTCTGGGCCACAGTCTTCCATTCTGCACTAGTGCTTCTCACAACCAGCCATTAGACCACCACTGTAAAAAATTCACTTCTCCAGAAAACCAAAACACTTTAACATTTTCTAACAATTGAATAAGTTGACAGATACTGCAAAGCAAGCCAGAATGCAGAGCTGGAAACCCTCTTTACCTGAATTCAGCCTTTGTGTAGTGGTTTGCTCGTTCCAAACACGTGATCAGATCTGTGAAAATTTACAAATGTCAATTCCAATTATGGGATATAAAATTACAGACAAATATTTGCCAGAACATGAAATTACATTTAAAGACCTCTTTGTATAATACTTCAGCAATTTTATTAGACTGGAAGCAATAGCTATGATTTTCTTTCATTCTTTTCAACTTCCCCTTCTATTCTTCTTATGCTTTACACCTTCCTCAAAGTTGAACAGACCTCCAGAACATTAAATGTGGGAATGAAAACTTTAATCTCTCTTACTGCTCCCTTTTATCACAGTGTGCTGGGTGCTGGAGCTCAAAACACAGTGGAGCTGCAAGGAGAAGGCACTATTTTCCCCTCCACAGGCCCTGTATTGCAAATAGTCTAGGTAGGATTTCAGCAGCTATTACAGCTAGTTATTGTTACAACTGTTTCTTACACACATGCTATTAAAAATACCATGGCTTATGCTAATCTGGAAATATTTAGGAAAAAAACTTTTATGCTAAAGCTTTATGTCTGCAAAGATGATAATTAAATAGGGGGAGCCATGCCACTAATCTTCTACTACTTTTGGATATCACCTTACCTGGGTGATCACTGCTGGCATAGGACAACAAAAAGCCTCGTCCTGACACATGGGATCCACTCTCAAAGTGAATAGTTGCCTCGTTGCTATCTAGAATGATTTCTTTGGGGACAGGCATCACATTACCACAGTAGGGCCCTAGAGACAGAACAAAGAAAGTTTCAAAAGTTTAGATGATGTAATTAGGCTGGGAAAGTCTCATGATTAGCAGAGACTTTCATAACACACTCATTTTCTTTCAGTATCAACCCAAATGTTGACAAAAGGGTTTTGGCTTCAGTCCTTTATGGGTATGAGCTCTAAAGCTACCCTGACAAGCAGTGGCCAGGATCCAGTTGTCTCTGCATGGCAGCAATTCCAGCATCCACATTTCTCATCACATAAGCCTGAAGAGAAGGATTAATGCCCTTCAACCTGTGAAGTACAGCGCGCTCACAACCAGCAGTAACTCATTAGAGAAAATGACACTACATTCAAAAGCAATCCAAGGGATCTAGGCAGGGTCCCTGAGATAAACCCTCCAAACACACACAGCTCATGCCATTGTGGCATAGCAGCCAGTCAGAAAGGATTAAGATCAGATACAGAGCACCTGGTTTTCAAGGACCTGCATGCCACAAGCCAGACTGTACTCCGCGGCAGTAACATTTCCCTTAGAAAATTTCCTAGGCTTTTTCCATTTAAAAACACATGGTAATATACAGTTCAAGTCTCTAGAGTTTTAAACAAAAGAGAGGGAGAGAAAGGGGAAGATGAAGGGAGTGGGACAGGGAGACAACAGCCTTGTGCTTACAGTGAATTAGATAAGGGTTTTATAGCTACCAACTGCAGTATCTTGGAACAGTCTTTGGGACACTCCTTTCTTGTGACAGCAGGCATGCCCAGAACTCCTAGTAATTACATTTGCTTCTCAGAAAGTCAGTTCCCGAGGGGAGTGTTCCTTTGAGACTGCCAGAGTCTTTGCATTTGCCTTCTGTCACCATACCTGGGTGCAAACATTTGTCCCTAGCTGCCCTCAGGCACAGATAATACAGAAAATTCAAAGCAGTTTGGATATACTTGTTCAAATTTATGAGTCTATGTACAATATAAACTGCAAAGAAGAGGTTTTTTTAAGATGGCAAAGAGACTTTTTTTCCCCAGAGGAAAAAAAATCCAAATGACCCTTTACAAGCCCTCAGCCCATCTGTTCTGCTGAGGTGAATGACAGCTTTTGTGTCCTAAAGCAAGCCTTTGGGATGAAAAACAACCACTTTGATTTTTCCTAGACAACCTCATCTTGGTGGTGGTGGCTACTTTAGGGCAACTTGGAACTGACTTCTGAGACACTAGTAATTACACTCACATCATGACACAAATCTGAGGAGTGATACCCATCATAACAGGCTCCCAAAAGCTTCTTCATTTTGCTTGGTGCTCTGGGTTAGGGAAGGGGCTCTTTTCCAAATACTTCATTTGCCTTAAAACTATAAGGTCAGCCCAATCAGAGCCAGCTGTCAGCAGAAGGGACAAACAAAAGGAGGAACTCTTGTCCTTTTGGCTTAAAAATCGTATGGTGAAGGCAGGCAGGCAGAGAAACAAGCGATGAATGTGACATTTCCCTGGAGTACTCATGTGTTGAAAAATGACTCACGACTTAGTCAGAGAAAACAATGTCTATAAAAAGGGTTAAATAAATTGCTTAGGAAATGAACTTATCAAAAAGACAGCATCTGACACTGTGTCATACCAGTCAACTGCACGAGTGATTTATTTGAGAAGGTCTTTTGTGTCAGGTTGCAGTGGGAGAAGTGCTAACTTAGATATTTTTCTGAGAGAGAGAGAAATGGGGGAAAGACAAGGAGCATTGCACGTCTTCAAAATAAAGCACCTGAGAAAGCTGTAGTCCTTTTCTTCTCTCAAGGACTGTCTCTACATATTTTCTCACAAGTGTGCTTTGGCTCTCTCCCTCACAGCGATTGGCAGTGACCTGTCTACTCTGGAGGTATAATTGAGATGGCTGATTCACACAACCACACATCAGCCGGATCAGGGATGAGTGTCTCCTCCAGCAGCAAGTCTACATACGTTCCAGGTAATTATACAAACAAATCCTACATCATGACAAAACCAATAAAATAAAATAAAATATAAAATAGTCTAGACAAACAGAGCTGTATAATCCAAATTAAAGCAAGAAATTCAGAAGCAATCAGCTTAAGAAACCAAGATTCAGTCTAAAGACAAGTGTCCACTATGAAGTAATAAATCTAAAAAGGTTACCAGGCTATGGTTATCCTCTGCCAAGAGCAGTTCTAGCATACCAAGAGATTCCCATTAGGTAGCTCAAAAAAAAAGGGAGCCTAGGATTAATTCCTTAAAGGATACAGAAGTAAGAAAGAGTATATACTTAAGGGAGGAATATTTTCCAAGGGTTTATAAGTTTTCTGCAAAGATTTGTAAGAAAAAAGAAAGGGGGGGTGGGCAGGTAGAATTTATTAATACTATGAAACATTCCCTTGTTCTTTTGTTGCAAACTGAGGAAGCCTTGCAAAACATTTCAATATATTTCTTCTCAACAATTCAGATAATTGAATTAAACCTTATCAGCACTACACTGTCAGGTCCTCAGACTTGCCAGGCATATGAATACTGTACAACCATAGTGAAGATGAGAGATGATGGAGAAAGCCCCAGTATGAAAATGAGAAACTTGCTTATAGGGTCCTGTTAATTTTTACTGCAGCATTTGGACTTGACTCTGGATAAATATTTAATTCCTAAACCTGGGACTTAGCCAGAAGTTTTTTAAGATCCCTTTTGAGAACTGCCAGATCACGTTATCAGTTTTTCATCTTCTAATGTTAGTTGTGAGGTGGGCTGTTTTGCATATTCGGCTTGAAAAACGAGTCATGAATGCTGATCTCTCTCAGCTTCCTGTTAAAGTGACTTGGCTGGAGCCCTGCTGGGGTACGTAGGCAGGATTATCTGGTTTGTTTATAAGAACAAAGGAAAGAGTTTAATTTAATAAACAGATGTGTTACATGTGATGAAGCTGAGTAGGTGTTCTCCATATTTCAATATTACTGTATCTAGATGCCAGGGCCTTTCCTTCTTCCTGTGTCTCATTAAGAAGTTGACCCAACTGTGGTTCCGTCTGTTCACTCCAGATTCCTTTTATACATATTTATAAAAATTCTGCAGGAGACATATTAGGGGTCTAAGGATTTCAACCATACTCATTTCAATATTCTCCATAATTAAACTAACTTTTAATGCCTTTCATGAAGAATATCTGATCTATTAGTATGGTTTAGGTGGCTTAAATAAAACACTTCTGTCTCCAAGTAGTATTAACATCCTGCAAGACACACAGTAAATTGTCTTGTGGATATCCTTTGGCTGGCCCCTCTGGAGAATGAAGAAACTATTTTACACTTTGTTTATTTTTTCAATGTTAGCAATAGCCTACTGCTTTTGTCTTTTTCATAACAGTGTTGTTTTGCAAATCTGATGATCTTTACAGCATTGTCTGGTTTTATGAGGTCTAGTTTACTTCTACTGTCAACCAGGCTCTGGCACAGCTCCTGAGCTTTCCTTTTTGAATTATGTTCCTTTATTTTTTCCACTTCCCTTAAGAAGTACTGTGACCAGAGGACTCTCTTCTTTCACACCAGCTGGCAATGCCTACATGCTGCTTGTTTCTCTAATTCTTAATACTTTCTGCCTCTTCTGTAAGGCTTTTGCTTCCTTTTAGAAGCAACTATTTCCCTCTTCAGCTATTGAATGGCCAGTTCACTATGCTCATTCTGCTTTCATATTCCTCAACTTAAATTGAAATCTGCAGCTTGACATTTGCTTTAAGTCAAGTCTTTAAGAAACTTGGTTTGGATATTAAATAATTATGTCCTCTGTTCAACAGAGAACCTTCTCCCTTTTTTCAGTCTTTACTTGCAGAGTAAGCCATGGTTGGCAGGAAAGATGCAGCAACAATTCATGGATGTGCCTCTAAACGATTATCATGTCTTAATGTATTTGTTTGGGGAAAACAATGTTTTAAATTGTAGCCTTTTCTCAAATAAGTCAATTTGGAACTACTTCAGTAGCTGGGAAAGGACAGGGGATGAGATGAACAGGGATTACACTTGTTTCACTTCAGACCTAAAAACTCATCCAGAGTACAAGTCTTTCACAAATAGTTCAAAAAACCAGTAAGATCTGTTGTATGAAAACACCTTCAGTCTCAAAATCCATCTCCATCCCACATTCACACAAATACTTGGATAAGCAGTAACTCTTCCTCTCCCCCTTACCAAGAGAGGTCCTCTTTGCTCCAGCCCTGACACACACATGGTGCAGTAGGAACCAGCAGGACCCTGCAAGGACACAGAAAGTGCTGCTCTATGTCCTTCCTTGCAATTTAACACTGCAGATACAAGATGACAGAGCAGTCAGGATGAGACAGCCTGGTTATTCAACATTTAACCCTCTGCAACACAGTCTGACCTCAGGCTGAGTGGTGAGTATTTCTTGTTTCAGGAAAAACAAACACAACTTTCGGTTAATGTTTCCAAAGAGTTGCCAAAGACTGCAACAAAGGAAAGAAAAAGGCATCTGAGTTAGGTTGAGGAAGTAATCACAACTTTAAAATGGAGCATCTGCACCACCTGCACAGGCTGGTCTGCCTGCTTGACCTCAGGTGAGATTGCCTCTTTTAACATGGTTGTGGTTTTAGCCAAATCCAAACACAGAAACACAGCAACAACTAGGAATCACGAGTGAAAAACTGTACTTTAACAAAAAAAACAGAGGTTAACACACTGTATGCAGCTAACAGGAAAAAAGGTGCGTTTGATAAAAAAAATGCTGACATTCTTTGTTGCATCAATCCTCCCAAAGCTGAAAACTCAGGATACTGCAACCACTCAGGTGAAACCCATCTGTTAAAAGTGTTTTGGCTGTTAAGAAACTGCTCAACTTGATCTTCAGCAAGAACTTGTCTGGGCATTTCTCTGGGTTTCCTGAAATTCCAGAAACAATACAGTAATAACAAGTTTCCTTTGAGGGATGAAAAAGAAATCTGGACACACCCTTTATTCAAGCAAGATATTTATTTCAATACATAATAAGGAGCAACTGGTTTGGTGAATCCCCTCAAGCCATAATGACAGGCAGGAGGCATCCAAAGGCACTCTGTACCTTTAGTAATGGGGTGTGGAAGAAAAAAGCATTTTCAGTAAATTCTCTATTTCACGTTAGTTACCAGCTGTAAATTATGCAAGAACAAGTCAACTGCACTAACTCTCCAAATTATTACTAGTCACTCAGCAGCTCTGACATCCACCCCAGAGGAACACATCAACCTCCTACTGACTGCAAGTGAATGAGGAAGTAAGTAGGCACTTATCTCTTCTTTTGGCTTTCTCTCCAGTCAAGACTGATGATCATCTCACAAAATTAAGGGAAAAAATACCAAGCCATTAGATGGGGAAGAGATAGAAAAAAAGCAGAAAAAGGGGTCAAAAGAGGTACAGAAATTTGATAGAGACATTAAAAGAAGCAGACTAAAAGCAGTTCCTGTCAAACTTTTAAAACATCTATGATCCACCTTCATAAGTAGTGCAAATTTTGTTCTTGAGAACTACAGGGCTGACATGGTTAATCTTGTTTTCACATATCCCTTTAACTAATTAAAAAATCAGAAGCTCTACTTCAGAGCTCAGTATTTTTAATATGCTCAGATAATGCAATTAACTCGAGAAGAAAAGCATTTCGGTGAAGGCTGCACCTTGTCTGCACTGTGAGATTATGCTCATATTAATTTTCTGTGGGACAAAAAACACCATATTTTAATCCAGTCAAAAACTGTGCCTTTGAAACAGACCACGATCATCTATTTATTTCTCATAGAGACAACCTGTGCAAAGCTGTGCTAATATTTAAATGTTTGTCAGACAAAGGTGACTCAGTTTCACCAAAACGGGTGTTAGACTCCCTTTGCTGACTGATGATTAATATTTTCACAGCTACGTCTGAACACAGAGCTAACAGCTTGAAAGAAAAGGCTTGCTACAGGTTCCTTTCTCCAGTGAACACTAAAGAAAATAATTTGCAGAGTAATAACTCAGAGATATACTGTCAAGACCCTGTATGATTCCAGTTTCAGAACTCCATTAAAATTATTTAACTATCATCTTTTAATTGCAATATTGGAGAAATATAAATTCAATAGCTGCTTTCACAGGTCTATCAAAGCTGAGAAGTACCAAAGGTGAGAACTGTAGTGTCACATTTGTATTTCAGTTGGGACTGAGAAAGGCTTCAGTAGATCAGCACACAGAACCACTGCATGCTTTTCTAGGAATGAATCATACTCTTCTATCCATCTGCAGAATTCAAGGAATGTCCAGAACTTCTATAAAATCTGCAGGTAGGTGCTCTAATCTATAGTCACCACCTTACTGAAATAGCATCAATATTCCTGCTAACATAAATCAATTCATCCCTTCATTTGTATTTAACAGATTCCCTTTGCTGCATGGAACATAAATACCCCAAAGACAAATTGAGTTACTCCTTGCTGTATTGCAAGAATCCCTGCAGATGGTTATAATGATGAATGAATCACAGTTATATGTAAAGACTGGAAGAAATCTGAAAGGAAAACAATACTTTATCATCTGGAGCCTTCTTCACACTAATTTTATATTTGTACACATAATCTAGTATTTTGCCTCTGACCAATTTTCCAAGCTTTAGATATACTCCTCAACAGATGTTTTTATTCATACTGACATTCATGCTGTTGTTTTCTGTAGAGCTGAAGAAATCAGCATGATATTTAAAACATATTTCCCTTTGGACCTTGTCTTGTAATTGCAAACCTCCCAAATAAAGAGCAAAGGCTGCTCAGACTAATTTGAAACATGAGCAGCATTCCCATTGTCATCTTTCATACCTCATTTTTTAGGTGTTCCTTTTTAAACCCAGGTCAAAGACAGAAAACACACCAACATTAGTTTTTAATTGCTCAGATGTTTTCAGCGCTTGCAGAATATTTTCAAGACTCCATCATCCCAAGAAAGAATTTTGATGTCTAAGGTCAGTATCTCCTCAGCCAGAGGGAAGATGTTGACCTGCCTGTGGATGTTCATGAAGAGAGAAGGGTTGCAAAGAGGAGATCTGAGTTCAGAAACAGCTGTCTAAAAGGACGCTTAACAGACTGAATGGATGTAGCAGTGCTTATTCACAGGGCTTCTTTCACTTGAATAAATGCATATTGAAACCCAAAGCTATAGCAAGACTGTTGGAAAAAATTACTTAGAGAAGCTCTAATCTCATCTAAGAATTCACATGTCTTTTAAAACATAAGCAGCATAATGAATGTATGCCTATAGGACTATTTCCACATCCATTCTGCATGGGTTTGCCTGAACATATAACAGAAACTCTGTAGGTATGCTGGTGGGAAAGCCTACAGTGAGCTGCAGACCACAAAAACCATTACAGATGGTAAGTCTGCCTAAACTGTAAAACTGGTTTAATCAGATAGGACCAAAATCTGCTAATTGTGCAGTTCACTACTGAGAATGCAAATTACAGTCCACATGCATCAGACGTTACTAATAGATCTAAAAATGGGTGTGGGAATACTTTAAAAAATTAATTATGTGGACTTGGTTGCATAATACACAGCCATTCTGTGCTTATAGGCTGAATAACTGCAGTATAAATGATGTGAAGATGCCTTCAGGCTGATCTGTAAGGAGCCAGAATTTCAATCAACATCCAAGCTTCATTTTTCACTTCAAAAAAACAATATGTTGATTTATCCCTGTTTCCGAGAAGATTTAGATTAGAAATGTCAAGAGAGTATCGATAAGAATTATTCAGAGATATGCTAATGCAATAATAACCACCTATTTCTTACTGCCAAGTACAAACAGACTGCTTCAGGTGAGCACAACTCATTACTTAGTTACAAAACAGATCACAAAACTATAGAACTATGGCTTGGGTTATAAGGGATCTTCTTAAAGAGCATCTAATTCCAACCATCCCTAGCATGGGCAGGGACCTTCCACTAGATTAGGTTGGTCAGGTCCCCATCCAACCTGGCCTTGAACACTTCCAGGGATGGAGCTCCACAACTTCTCTGGGCAACCTGTTCCAGTGCCTCACCCCTTCTCAGTGAAGAAAGAAATAAATAACATGAAGAATTCCAGCAGACATGAACAGAGATGCTCCTTATGCCTCAAATCAAGCTCTGTGCAGGCTCAGATATCAGCATGTCACTGCCCACTCTTACTGAAGGTTGTTTCAAAATGTAATACCTCCCCCATGAGAACAATAATTACCTTTACCTTCCTTTGTGAGCAAGCCTTTAATACCTCACTTGATCTTCTCTTACCAGATGAGTGATAAGCCCATCACACTGATAAATGAAAGGCAATCAACCCTCCTTACTACTAAAATACCCTATGAGATCTCATCTTTGGAGAACCACATACTTTTCTGAGCCAAGCAGTGAGGTGGAAAATGTGCAGAGGCTCTGCGCAGCTCATTTCTTCATCACATTTTTCCCTTGAATCCATTCTGCTTGTTAAGCCCAGGACAGTACATTTAGCCTCAGCTGACTGAAGGGCTACACAGCCCACTCCCAGCAGGCAAAATTTTATGAACTGTCAATTCATGAGTTTATTCCTACATTGCATAACTCCTTGCAGCTTTGAATTTAAACTGGATTTCTGAAAAAGGGTGCACGACTTGAAAATCAGTTTGACTCTTCTAGAAAGTGCAGATCAAAAGTTTCTGTGACAACTGGTTGGGAAAACCATTTTGAGGAAGGCCTCATGTTCTCCCTGGGGAGAATCTTGTTGCCATTATGATTGTTTTATGTGCACAGCTGTAGCAGATATTTGCTTATCTTCCTGTGCAAATCTCTTACATGAGCGCAGTCTGGCTGTATGCACTTAATATCTGCAAGTATTAAAGCCTGTACATTAGTAAGGTGGCTGACAGCTAGCAATAGTAAAGGTTATCTCTTCTCTGAGCCATGGGCTGCCTAGGAATAGAGACACACAGGATCACTAACTCCAATTTCTCATCTTTGTCTAGTTTGTGAGGAAGCTCTTCCCCTGCTCAAGAAGGGAGCTGGGCTGATACAGATCTACAGACTTGCTGTATGAAACTGTGACGGTCCAGCTGTGCAGGTGTGAAGGCAGAGCCATCAGGAGTGCTGTGCCCGAGTCCCAGCAGCCCAGCACAGCAGCACCCTCAGCCTTGGCAGAACTACACATGGTGGGACAGTGGCTTCCCACACAGAGAATGAAACACCTGAATACAGAAAGGAGGAGGAGAGCACAAAGGCTGACATTTCTTGCATTTTGCTAAGCTGCTTTTTACTCTTACTTTCACCAGTTCATTCACTGACCATGGCCTTGTCTCTCACATACCATGCAGTGTTGAAGAGCTCTGGATGGTAAGGTAGCTGGACTCGCATTTCTGTGATTCAATATCCAGGTCTCCGATTTTCAAGATCAGGCGTTTTCCTGGAGGCACCTGGATTTTCTTCTCACAAAGAGTGTAGTTTGGGTAGGTCCCAGGATAGTTCTTGGATGCCAGTGTCCCACTGTCCTGATACATCACTGTGTGCCCACATCCATCCCCTGGAGAAAGGAAGAGAAACAGAATGCATTCCTCAATTTAAAAAAAATATAAGAAAATACTGCCTACATAATCATGTCTCATCCACTTTTCCCTTTTAAATAAGTATTTTGTAATACTCCACCTCACTTCTGCTGTTGTTGGAACACAGGTAGCTGAAATAAATTTAGTCACATTTCTCTTGTAAAGCAGTAGAAAGAAGGGTTGGAAACCCCCATGAACTGGGGTGTATTTCACAGTAAGATACAGACAGTGTCTCTCTGGCTTTCTGCTTTGTAGCCAAACCCTAATAAATCCCTGAAGACACAATTCCACATGTAAAGAGCGGGATCTTTCCTTAAGTAATTTTCTCCCAGTTATGAGTCAGCATTTTATTTCCACAGCAATAGTCATCTCAGAGAGGGCAACTGAGTCACACATGAAAGCAGAGACATGACTTAACTGCCTACTATCACACACCTGACACATCTTATTTTCCTGCTGTTTTTCTTGTGCCACTTGCACAATACTAACAGCACAGGGTGAAGACATAAGTGGGACTTCCAAAGTGGGGTGTGCACTGTCAGTGGTACACAGGCTACTTTGGAGCAGCATTCCCAGAAAAGCACAAGCTGCTGCCTCTTTGCTCAAGAGGTGAGGGTGGGGGCCCTCAAAGTGTGTCTTCATGGCAATGTAAGGAGCCAGCTCAGCCCTGGAACCTTTCCTTGGTGGAGAGGCATCTGAGGAGCAGCTGCAGCAGATCAGAGGACAACAGGAAAAGGCACATGGAAATACATAGGGGGATGTGGACTGACATGGAAAACAGGAAGCATCCATAGAGGGGGAAGGAAGCAGGTATCAGATAAGAGACCTTGACTACTAAAGGAAGAAATTTTTACTGAACTATTTAAAAGCATACTAGTAACTTAAAATTTGTATTCTAAAGCTTAAGCTATTTTGTTCTGCCCAATTTTCCAAATAATGGAAATATTTGTGGCAGTGGACTAGTGTCATATACACACACATACAGGCAGTCCTCAGTTTCAGGTCATTTAGGGCATAGGCACACATTATATAGGAGTCTTGCATTCTGTTATGCTTTATCTTGGCAAAACTGAAGCTAATCCAAGAAGTGTTAACAAAATAAAGAATCCTGCAGGAGATGGGAATTCATAATGTTCACGTTAACTACTCAAAATTTTCCTTTTGGGGATATTTTGGTTAAATGGTTTTGGTCTGTGCCATTTTAATTACCATCTGAATTTCCTTCCAAAATCATTAGAAACAACAAACTTAAGGTTTGATAGGATTTTTTAAAAAGGAAAAACTAGGAATGAAGTGTTGAAAAAGAAGTGTTGCCATACCAAGAAGGGGGGGAAGTGGCATGCTGTGCTAAGATAAGCTCCAAGCTATCAAACTTTGACTTGCTACCATATAATTACACTGCCATTTCATCCAACTCACTCAACTGCTCTTTCACAAGCAATCACATTTATTTTGAAGCTTTGGCATTACTACTAGCTTTGTTGCCTAGTATTTATTTTTGTCATAGGTTCATGCTGGAAATAGAGGTGAATAGGAGATATAGATCCAAAATCATATCACCATAAAACATATTCAATATGGTTTTTTTCAGATCTCCTTTTTCACATGCTTTGAAAAGCATCTGCTGTTCAGGGTTTTTAACCAAGCACTGTTGACTTTAGGATGCCTACGAAAAAAATCAAGATGAAAGGCAAGCTGGCTTCATGAGCAAATCACCTTTTAATGGAAACTTTTGGCAAATGACTGAAGATATAAAGAACAATATGGTAGATGAGCTGTCAGCTTTCTGAAGAGAGAGGGGTCCACAAAGGTCTAGGCAGTGTAAAACCAGATCACTTCCAGCCGGACACAGGACAACCTTGATGCCTGTGTAGCCAACTGCTGTACAGTATAAAAAGAACTGCCCATGGCCTTTAGTTTAAACAGCATGTTTCTAACTGTG